AGCACCCCCGGCAAGAGCTCCCCCGCCCTCGGTGGCACAGGCCCTTGTGTTCGGCAAATAATGACGGGATGTGTCAGCGGGCCAGCACTATCTTCTGGTCTGTGCTGTTTTGTATAAAAGGGGGGGTGGGGGGGGGGCTTGCTAACTAGTAACCCCTGTGAACTGTGCTTGGCATAAGCCTGACAGTTCTACAAAGCCCGGGCGTCCTCCGGATCTCTCACAGATAGGGGAAGTAAATTTAGAAATCACATTCATAAGGACTTCATGAAGCACCGATGCTTCCCACAAGTCTCCATGAAGCATATGGCTTTTACTGTGGGCCTTAAAAAACGTTCTATGTATACATTAGAATAGAGTCCACGCTAAAAGACAGCGTGTGAGTGAGAAGAAACAGACACTGTGGTTTGAAAAGAAATTGTGAAAACAGATAAAGTTAGAGGGAGAAATGCCAGAGTATTGTAAAAAAACAGAGAAGCAGGAAGGCTTGTACATATTGCATGTTTCCGTTTGGTTCCATGTCCCAGGGCCACTGTGGCTGCTTCCTGATGTGGTTTCCATTATTTATCCAGCATCTATTGGACCATATTGGAGCCCACTCTCAGGTCTGCTGCCAATATGGCAGCACAACGGAAGGGAAAATGAAGAAGCTGCAGTGTTACTGCACATTCAGTCTGGACCCAATCTCTATTTGCACAGTCAGACAATCATGCTGGATTGATTCAAGTCTGGTGCTGTCATTTGGCAACGCTCAACGCTACCTGTGTCTAGCCCTTCTGAAGACACACCTTCTCGTTTATTCAGCTGTTGTTTGATCGCTGACAACGACATGAAGTCGAACCGCACGAAGAGCGACAATTCGCCCGAGCAGCTCAGAACATGCATCAGATGTTATCAATTTCCTCTCTGCCGCGGCTCACTCACAATACAGGATGCACATGAGATTACTCACCTGCCAAAAGCAAACAATGGCTAATGTATCTCCAGTTCAAATTACATTTACCATAGGGTGTCATCTCTAAGCTGTTTAATGCATTGTGGGACGAAGGGCTTTAATCAGCGAGGCTCAGTGGAGCCAGCGGATTAAATCACTTTTTATCTGCGCTTCCTTTGACTTTCCCAGTGCTCAGGGTTGCAGTGTAAATCATAATGCGTCCCTGTTGGGCTCACTTCAGTATGGTTTATTGCTGTAGTCACATTTCATAAATTCTATTTATTCTGTATTGAGTAAATCCACATGCACTGAAAAACAATTCTCACCTCCAACTACAAAGTGGATCCTTTCTCAGAAAAGAGTTTATTGTGTCTGCAGTATGTGTGTGTATCTTTTGTACTTTTAGACACGTGTACTGTGGTTATTAGCGTGTTAATTGATGCATGCAGTATATGCAGTCTATGTCCATAGGTGAGAATACACCCGCCTGTGTGTATTTGGGCACGCTTGCACTTTATCCACAGGGAGTATGTGGATGAGTTTGTATCTGCGTGCGGGTGTATGCGGGCTCACAGCCGGCCACAGCAGCGAGGACAGAGCGGCTGCCGCATTGCACAGAATAGTTAAACAGCTGTAGTGCTCCATCAGGGCTATCGATCATGTCCCTCTCTCCGAATCACAATCAGACGTGGGCAGAGCAGAGGCTGGGGCAGGCCTCTGTGACTGGCTACGCACCTCTCATATCAACCAGGCATTCGTCGAAAAACCTGGCCTGGATAGCTGATTAGATGCACTTGTTTCTGTAGAACTCGCTGGAATACATGGACAAGTATTCAATTAAAGTGCCTGGCAAGCACTGCCTTCTTTCTTTATTTTTTACAATGGTGTGTTTTATTGCTTATAAAGAATATAATTGTCCATAATGTTTAATGCACTAATTCCTTATTGTATTGATACAGCACTTCTGAGTGTAACACAAATCAAAAGTGCATTAAAACATATATTGTGTCCAAACAACACATGTAACTGCCATGAAATTAGACATGGTTTCATTCAAACTTAACAGTAATAATAGGTTAAGCTGTTAAAGTATCATCAGCGACCATCTGCTATCATCCCCCATACACTGTAAATCAACTCAACGCCTCATGTAATCACAAGGAAGTTGGATGCTATTACATTAAAATTGAAACAAGAAGTGTATGGGAGCTGTCCGTGGCGCCATTAGCTGCCATCTGCTAGCATCTCTGCAATCCTGCGTTCTGTACGTATCTCCTTCCTGTGCCGTGTCTCACTACTACCTTTTATCTGCGACTCAATGTTAACTTCCTGCCAGTGTGGTGACTCTGTTTCCATTTATTTCCCCCCCGTGGTCAGTTGAATTTAACAGATGACCTGAAATCCAGACATTTGCTTCCTGGTTTGGGACAGCGAGGTTACAACTCAATATCCTTTTCTATTGCCACTGGACACACCTGAGTAGAAGAGGGCAGCTATAACAAGACCAACCCCCATCTCTCTCTCTCTCTCTCACACACACACACAC